AACTATTTCAAATAATAAGTAGATTCGTTCTAGCGAAAAAAAATTTTGGGGGTTAGGTGCACTTTAAGTATATGTAAGCTCACGCAGCACGCACTGCGGGCCTATTTTTTTACTTTTGCATGGACCGTATGTTACTTACTTGAGCATACTTTTTGCTCTTTATCATCTTAGAGCCTGACACTATAAGATCTTGTGTCTCAAGTGCTTTTTGTTGCAGCTCGTTAGATGTCACTGTTGCTCTTGCAGCACTTTCAGTTGTGTTTCTCTCAATAATCATGCTCTCTGGGTCTGATTGCCGATCATCTGAAATTTTCTGAATATCATCATCTGATAATTCCTGAGACGCTGGGTTTTTCTCCTCATTATTTGCATCCGATATTTTAGAGGAATTTGGCGTCTTATCTTGCCGAACAGTAACATAACCGTCGTTCTTGTTAGGCTGTTGTATAGGGCTGGGATGTTGCCTAGAAGAACGATCTCGTTGTTCTCTTTCTGTAGTTAAAACTTTCTGTTGATGGCTCTCTCCTTAATTAAAATAACATCATACAAGCATTAGTCTTACACTAAACTAAAATAATATAACTGTGTTATCAACCACACATTGTTGTCAATAAACTAATGGTAATTCAAGCGTTCTGGTTGAGTTCTGACAGACGCGAGGATGACCTACGTGACTTTCGTTACAGTCCTAGATCTAATGGCCGGTTCCATACAGTATCGCTACGATCACTGCCATTATCAGGATTGATGGAAAAAAAAGCGATCGAGATGGTAGCGATCATTGTCGCAAAGGATCGACGAGAAAGACTACAGTTGACCGTAGCGGTTACTGCGATGATAGAGAAATTGTACATCCTCGTCTCCAGAGCCCCGTTTCCCACTTAACCAGTGGGGCCTTAATACAAGGAAAAGGTAGTATATAGCTTTGGAGACACATGATTTGATTGGCTAGATCTTTGGACTAAGATTAATATTGCTGGTTTCCTTCCCGAAAATATCGACTGGTTGATCTCCTACTAATAAGGCCGTTACAGCACCCACAGACCTTAACCGATTTCAAACATAGGCACGCAAGGCGTGAAAGAGTTATTTTTTTGTGTGAAGTGTTGGAGATAGAAGCATTCATGG